AACTTTGACGTCATGAATCTAGTTTCGTAGTTTAGGTCACTCACCTTCCATCTCGAGCGATTTCAGAGATCGTGAGTTCACTGCCTCGAAGAAAGCCGTGACCAGTGGCCGCCGATAGCCATCACTACCGGAACTTAAGTCTAGTCGGTGGGTGACCTTCTTTGAGGGCCCTGAAGCTCGTGTTATTCCCACCCACCGGTATCCGCGCGTTGAGAAACTCGTGTCCAGTAATTCGTTAATCAATCTCGCTGTCGTTTGTTTCTTTGATCGGGTATTTCGTGATCTTCTCTTTTAAATCCGGCATGAGAATTATGCCTTCAAGTCAGAAATAAAATATTTCCTTCACTTATCCATAGGCATGTTTATTTTTAATGAAGCGTTATCGTTTGGAAAGTCGACTAACAACGTCAAACGGATTGTACCACGGTTGTAACACATTACATAAACACGGAATTTACCCAAATATTTATCCCATTTTGCAATATTGACGCTTGTAGGCTGTGGGAAAATTTTAGCATCGGGCTTCTTACAGTGCACCCAGTTTGGTGATCAATACTTTGGTTATTTAGTGTATGAAGCGTCGAGTAATAAGCGAACATGACCAGGTGCACATATTGCACGACGTGGGAGACGACGTAGAACGCTTCGTTGCAATATTGACGTTCAGACCAGCAGTTCAAATCAGTACCATTGTTTTGTGCTCTGAAAATCCAGCAGGTTGAATGTGACCGATGTTTTACAAACGCGCATGAATTTGCCAAAACACGGTATAAATACATATTGTGTGTGTATAATTGATCTTTTGGTCGTTCTTAAAAGTTAAACTTATAAACATGAACGAAAGTTTCCAATACTTCGAACTGAGAAATTCTATCGTGACAGTTTTCTTCTGATACAATGTCTATAATAATAATATATAGCAAATAATAATTTAATCTTCCAATGAAACAAGAGGGAATCATCAATAGCCGCGGCACTTGAAATTCTTATAGGCAGGATTAGATTAATCCATGAGACCTTTTTTTTTCATTTTTATTATCTATATGTTTGTGCGCCAGCAATACCAAGCATGGGGCGCGGGTATACCCAATTCAATTTTATTACTCATCTTGAACTCTTCCCAGTCTACCCTCAAATTGAAATTCCTTTAGGCAGGATTAGAGTAAGTTAATGTATAAGACTTTGGGAGTGGTCAAATACATCAATCGAAAGGGTTTGACATCCTGGGTCCAAAACTGTAATTAGATCTCAAACCGATCAAGAGATGACGGAGCTATGAGTTGAAAGTTGAAAACAACAGTCGTTGTATGAGCAGCTATGCCGCGGCTAAAGATGTTAAAACACACGCCTGTAACAAAAACTTTTTTTTGTTATTACTTACAACGTTTCGGGTAAAAGGCCTTCATTAGACAGTATAAACTGTGTTACATGGCATAGACAAAATCGTTGAAGGTTTTTGTTACAGACGTGTGTTTAACATTTTTCGTTGTTTTTTCACGTCTTGCGGTCTTTTATACTGTGTATGTAATCTTCCAAAACTTACACTTAAGGGAGATTACTTGCGTTTCAAATGTATATCAATTCAGTTAAAGTATTTTTGAAGTTCTGTGCAGGGGAGAAGAGAAAAAAAAAGAAAGAGAGGACCAATTCAGATAAATTATTGTTAATTATCCTAATGTGTTAAGACGTACAGTGATTTTATGGCAAGATTTATTACACTGTTTTGTATAACTTCCAGTAAACCTGTGGTGGAAGTTAAAGGAGTAAATTCAAAAAGCACAGATTGGTTCGTTAGATGCAATTCTTCTTTTTTATTGAAACATCACTTATCTGTTTCTGCAGAATTGTAAAAAATGTTTATTATTGGACCTTCATGTTAAATTGACATTTTGCCATGGAATGCATAATTTGAAAATTTTATTGATAGATTTACAAAGGCTTGTGTAAAACGTTTTTTACCGTACACATAATAATATCTAGTTCTTTGTACTAATGCCTGTTATCACAGCCATGCTCTACTATGAAGTATAATATTGTGGGTGTGTCTTACTTATAAAAGTACCTTCCGCGCCTCTAGTACTGTATTTTAAACCATTACGTTCGTTACAGGCGAGTTCACTTTCCGAAAATAAGTTAATGTGCGTGTATTTGGACATGTTTGCGTGTTTTGCGAAAAGGTAGTTCTGTAACCTTGAGTAATTTATGTATTTAATATTTTGCAATATGATAGGGCTGCTAAGATAAACGCATTTGCAAAATTTAGGTAACATTTGATAAAGTTTCAAGTTTTACAGAACTCCAATCGTTTTCTTAATGCTGACATTAAAACTGGTCATATTGTAGAGATTCATTTAAAATAATATGTAGCCTGATAGTGATTCTCATTTTGTCTTAGAACACGGCTTTTTCTGGTGTTGTCTTTATAGATTTCTTTTCTGTTTTTTAATGAAATATAATTCAATTAATAAACAGGCGTAATTGTTACTGTTAATCACATGTTGTTTCACATTAAAAACGAAACATTGTAACATTAATGTAAGTATTTTCTTTTACTCGTGAACTAGAAGTCTAGCTTGCCGGTTCGACAGTTCTTGTGAATGGTAGCTGAGTTAATTCGAATAAAATCAAATAAATAATGTATTGTTAATTCTTCTTTATCAATCTGGTTTGTAAGTGACTTGAATAAAATTGCTAATAATGAAAACTCACTTGCTTAATCTGATTTACACCCTATAAAATTGATGATTTAAATAGAGCCTAAACTACTCAAGTGCCTGTCCTACCCCCGCGGGCCTGTTTAGCCTTGGTATTGAGGGAAAGACCTCGACTGTACTAGATATTACGCAGGTAGTGTGGTTGATAGAAACACATTTTCCGTTGCTTTCACTCATGGGTTCTTAGAATGGAAGTCATTCTTCCTCGTGGGGATCAACCCAATCACACAATATTAATACTCAAATAATTTTCATAAACCGGGTTTACAATCTATCATGATCGTTTTTCTAAGTTACACATCTTTTATTCCATTAGAAATGCTCAACGTGCTACATTATTATGATATATCACACACTCGTTTTGTTTTTCGTAAACAACCGTGTTTCTCAAAAACAACAATACGAAAAATTATTTTATATTGCAAAGAAAAACTGAAACAATTTTGTTATTTTATTTGGAACAAAAAATTTCCCATCTTTTAGTATCACGCCAAATGGCAACAAAGCCTAACTTTTTTGTAATGTATGAGTAGTGGTATTCCAATGCTAAACAACGAAAACGTTGGTTCGTCCTGTGACAGCTGGACAAATAGGTTGTTGTTTATTATTTCACCAGCTGTTTCTGTGTTATTTTAAACACCTGAGTAAAATATTTTGGGATGCCTGTATACTCTTGGGAGTAGTGTTCTGGTATATGTATTAAAACTACGACAGATGATTTAGTTTTTTACTTACTCAGTGATATATATAGTTTGTGAAGCATTTTGAGTTCAGAGTTACTCTGCCATAACAGTGGATTAACAAACGAATGATAACCATTTGAATTATTATTCCTTGCAAAATTTTGTCGTTAGAATTTTTTTATGTAACCAAATAAGCCTAGGTGTATAAGTGTGTTTGAAGAAATCAAAATTGAAAAAAGACGATTTAATGACACCATAGCATCAACCCAAGTTGTGTGTTACCAAAGCGTTAATATTTCGCAAATAAAACTCGGGTTTGCAGGTTTTATTTCACCAGAATTCACGTATTATGTTTTGGTATCAAGTAGTGTGGTGTCTTATTTCGAGTACCCGCTGTTTCATACACACACACAAATAGTAACAATCCAATAAACGAGTAGTTACTGAGTTTTTGCTTCACCATAACTAGAAAAAATAGTTGAGTTTAAAACATTTAGAAAGTTTATTGTAAAGGTAGCTCTTGAAATGTAGTGTAATGTTTTGAATATAACAAGTTCACTTATAAATCTAATACACAGCAAATAGCTAGGCTTAAATACAGACTGACTATATAAATAAAAATCGCCCAGAACAAATTTCAAAGTTGCTAATTGTATTACAAGTGAAATTACTAATGTTAAACTGTTTGTGCCAAAGTTTTTTGTTTTTTTAAATAAACTATCATAAAGTCAACGTGCACTACAAAGAACAACTGTCAAAATACATAGAGCTCAACGTACCTGACATTTTTATTTTTTTCATGGATAAACTGAAGTATTTAAATTGTGTTTATTACATATAATGTTAAAAATATATAGTTGGGCCCTCTATTGAACGTTATTGGAAGTGTTGTTCTGAAGTTCTTTAGTGCCATCTGTTGGATTACATAAGCAACTCAATGCTACAGTACAGCAGTACCACCATTTATCGGACCATTATGAGTGACAGAATACTATAGAATTGAAGAATGGCTCCTACAAAATCCATCTATAAAGTTTTAATTGCTATTAGTTTGATATTGATATATTGAATTTCATTTTTAACATTAATATTGTGATTTTACTGTATATATATATATTTATTCTTATTGTGTCTTTGATTTTAAATACTCAATTAAATATGCTTAAGATTAAAAAAGATTAGTTATGGTTACTAAGAAGCAAATGTTCACTGGATGAAATTTACATATCTCAAGATCCAATGAGTATTACACTTTTTATTTGCAATCCACACTTAACACAATGTAACCTAGATTTTAGAAAAAAGTTCTGCTGTCTAAGAAATAGGATTTAATTTTGTTGCCTTGTACAAAGACTAAAAAACTATGTGTGGTGATGTACAATTTATTATCACCTTACCTTAAGTAATTAAAACCATAAATGTCAAACTGAATGTAACATTCATGATTGCAACATTTTGTGTTCTGATAATTTACCATCACAGTATGGTCTGTTTGCTGGAAATTTTTGTATGTTAGGTCTATACAAACAGGGGCTCAAAAAGTTATATAAAAATTAAGTTACACTAAACTTCTCTAATTTCTCTACATTCTTCATTATTTCAGTGACTCAACTATGACAGCTATGGGATGGCAGCAAACACCACCTACTGGCCATGGTCCACCTCCTCCCCATGGTGCACATGCCACCCAGCAACAGCTATCAGTGGTCACTACTGTTTGGGGAGTATCACCTAGTACACAGAGTGGTCCACTAGTTCATAACTCTTATAGTGGAACAAACACATCAGTGGCACATGGACCTTATTCTCAGAACACTCATGGCTACCCTGGAGGGATGCCTTCTAAACCATATCCTCCCCAGGGTATGCCCCCTAGACAGACAACACCAACATACAATGGGTTAGTATATAAAAACCAACAACTGTCTTCAACAAAAAATTTTAAAATCTTATTCACTCTGTTTATTCCTCCAGTTTTGCTCATCTTTATTGTAAGTTCAATAAACTGACAACTAGATGGATGCATCAGAAAGCATTTAAAAATATTTTGTAATTTTTCTGTTATCTTGATATTTTGTTATTCTAGACTTAATCATAGAGATTAGTAGATTCCAACTTCATTGAGAATGGAACATTTATTCATGATTGAGAGAGAGAAAGACATTAGAAAGGTAAATAGGTTTCAGTGAATTACAAACTAAGAGTTAGACCATTACAGAAGAGTCCAAAAGTTAATGTGTTGAAGCCTGTAGCAAGAATAAATCAATTAGCTTATTGATACTATCATATTAATTAGTATAAAAGTATATAGTCAGAAGTTGAAAACTGCAGAATTAAGATTTCTTATAAAGTATGTGTCTATGAAATTGTATATTTTCAAATGATCTCGTATCATATACCTATGACTGTAACTATTAAACAAAAATAATTTGATGTTATTTCAAAATATATTTTATTAATCATACTTTAAAAATATAAATGAAAATGAAAATTAACGAATCTTTCAAAATGTCATTGTAGTTATGGGCATACACCAACATCCATGGGCACAGCAGTTGGACCAAACATACCTACTGGTTGCCCAGGCTCTGGTGGAGACTACCAAGGGTCCTCTGCAGCTCTCAGTGCTGCTGCTCTTGTAGCAAGAGCAGCAGCTGCTGCCACAGCAACGGCAACAGCTACTGCCAGTGTGGTAGCTTTCCAGGATCAACAACAACAAGAGACAGCAATGGGAAACCAATATCATAACCATGTAAGTATTAATTTAGCTTTTATGATAGTAATGAGAGTTGCATGTTTTATTTTATATCTGTTTTTACCTTCCAATCTATATAAATTTCATTAGAACAGAACCTATTAAAATAAAAGAATCATAAACAATTAGGCAAATATTCTCCTATGCTACAAGTTATTTGAAACTTGCGAATTCTTTTGTAGAGTGTGAGAGTATTTTCTAATCCTCACAGAATTTTTCTCCTTATAAAACTAATGCTAATTTCTGTGAAGTTAGTATTTTGTCATTTAAAAAAAAAGTGAGAGGAATTTAAAGTTTATGAATAACATTTCTGGTTTGGGTAAGAAGTTCATCCTTTTATTACTTTATTGTGCATGCTAGTGTAGCTGTAGTGTACTCTACATGTTTTCTCTTCTTTCATAGATGCAAGGCATGCAAAACCAACAGTATCAACAAGGCTATGGCCCACCTGGTCCACAGCGATTGCCCTCAGGGCCAACCATGGGAAGTCACATGAACAACCATATGAGCAATACAATGGGAGGGTCAATACCATCAATGGCTAATTCCATGTCCAGTCCCATGATCCCCATGAACACTTCCGTTATGAGCACACCTAATAGCATAAATCCTCAGATGGCTATGAATGGGCCTATGGGAATGAACAAGGGTGGGATGCAAGGAGTACAAAATATGGGAGGGCCTGGACAACCTATGTACCCAATGCCTTCTTCTGGAATGGGGCCCCAGACAAGGGCTCGCTCAGCTCCCTATCCAAATCCTTCTCAATATATGGCTCAGAAACGACAAGTCCAGTACAACAATGCCATGGCTCACCAGTACAACCCAGGTATACAGCAGTATGGACCTGGCTCTCAACAGACATACAGTTCGGCACAGGTGAGTGTGACAACTATAATATTTTAAGTGGATGACATTTGTTTCAGGTAGCAAAGACTCAGCTGAATCACTAAGTAAAATATTATTATACACCATAAATAAAAATATAATGCATTTGTTACAAAATAAAAATAGTTTCTTGTAGATTTACATTGGTTGTTTATAGCTTTAGATCTTAATTTGTAGAATACTGCTTAACAGGATTGTGACAATTGTTGGAGCTTCTGCTTAGTTATAACTTTTTTTCTTGCACTTCCGAAAGGTATAGTGACAGGAAACAGACTGAAGAATGTAATATTTTACATATTTTATAAAAATTGTTTTATGTGCTGCAAAGTTACAAATCTGCTTGAAATTTATTTCTCAACAAATGCAAGACTTACAAATGCTGAACTTTTTTCCATTAGCAGATATTCAAGAGAAGGTTTATCAATAGTGGTTTAAAAAGAGAAAATTAGATTTAATTAAAATTTTTAAATAAAATAGTTTGATGCAGCTAGTTTCATATCCAATATTACTTAACTTTAATTCAGAAAATGAAACTTTTTTTTTCTCAGTTTTTGGTGTTGGTTTTGCAACTTATTTTCCCTTCACTCACTGTTGCATATTGTGAACATTTATGCTTGTGAGATCAAAACTGAAAGACTATCCATTATTAATGTAGCTTTTATTATCTAATATATATTTTATTATAACTGATCTTTCAGTTTCCTGGTGGTCAGGGAGTACAGTACCCTAAACAACCACCCCAGTTTCCTCCATCCATACAACAACAGCCCCTGCCATCAAGTGGCTACCCTCCTCAGCAACAGATGCGACCCTCCATAAGACCTCAAGCATCTCCATATGCACCTCAACAGGAACAGTATTACCCACAGAATCACATGAATGGGGTTCCTCAGCAGACTCAATATGAACAACAATATAATGGGAATCAGTACATGACACCTCAGAACTTTCAGGTGAAACACAAATCTGAAGAAAACTTTAAGATTGTAAGGGTGAAAACCAGGTTTTTCAAAGAAAGGTTTTAAAATGTACTTATATAGCTGTGTCTATGAAGAAGCTTGAGTTCAATGAGCATTAAGAAGTACCTTACATACAATATAAAATATAGATGAAAAGTATGTTTAGCAGACAGTTAGTCTAATAAGGATGACAAGTCTTGTAAGCAGTATATTTCTATATGAAATCATAAGCTCACATCTGAATTCAAATGATGAAGGTATGGCCTTAATATGTTCATAAGTAGTCTCTTTTGTACATAGTCTTTGTTCATTATTGGTTTATAGAGTTCATATCTTTAAATATTTTGGATGGATGATTACTTCAGACTCGCTTAAAGAGATGCTTCACTACTTTTGGCTTCTTTATCATTTTGATATTTACTTTATGTTTAACAAGATTCTAGAACAACCTTGTATCAGTATCTTTTCTCTATGTAATACTGGTGTTAAAAGTTTTAGAATTAAAATAAACTTTTAAAAGTTTATATATATATTTCATATTTCTAATTAATATTATGAACTAAAGTATGGGAAAGTAGAATGAATGTATTCTTTACTTGCAGTTGTAAGACTAACACTGCTATGCTTATTGTCGAGAAAATCTTGACATTGAAACACGTGTTCACCATTTATAAAGATAGCAAAACTAACATCAACATATTTGTGATACATCAACATATTTGCGATACATCAACAGTTGTGATACACTAAATACTTGCAATATAACAACATACTTATGATATATCAACATACTTGTGATACATCAAAAGGTTGAAAGATGATGAGCTTTCTTGCAGCCATTGTTTGTCATGGATGCAGAAAAAAAAATCAGAAACAGAAGAAGGCAGTCTTGGCCCTAAACCTATTTCATGTAATTTTATTATAGAGAAAGCTGTTGAACTGTAAATATGATTCCTTAATAGTGTTTTTCATGAGTTTTAAAAAACCTTCAAGATATGCTATTTTTCAAATACATTCTTTTTTAAATTCATGAGTTTTTGATGATTATGATATACATTCAAGTTCTTCTTACATATTCATTGAGGTTAATGACAAACACAGTCACCAAAAATACAAGGTATAATATAATCATCATTAAATTGAGGCCACAATTCTACCAAGTTAATTGAAGTGCAAGTTTAGCAATGTAACTACATTAGGCTGCAACTTTATATTGAATTTTTTGTAGCTGTTTAGTATTCTATTTTAATATTTCTTCTTTTACTATAAAAGTGTTTCATTTTCATTGTATTAATGATTTTATTTTGGCACTTCATATTATGCATCAGTAAAAACAAATATCCCTTATGATTTTGGTTTTTAACACATCATTTGGATTTTTATTTTTCAGAGAAATATGAGCTATCAGCATTCACCAATTCCTGGTAATCCCACACCACCATTAACTCCAGCATCTAGTATGCCCCCCTACATATCACCAAATTCAGGTGATATAAAACCCTCTTATCCTGACATGAAGCCACCAATGCCTCCAACAAGTAGGTATAACTTGTGCTCTTACAAGTCAAACTGTTGGTAAAGTGTCACTGTTTGTGTGTCTGTTTGTTTTTTATGTGTAAAACCACATGCTGCTGCTAGTCATATGTAAGTACAGTGCTCAGCATTGATTGTTTGAAAATTTCTTTGGTCATTGCTTAAAGAACTAAGTTTAAAGCCAACAAATTTAGCAAATGGGTTGTCTTTGAGATAATTCTAGAAATAAGATATTTTTATGGTTGACCATTAAATGGGGTATAACATTCTGCTAATTAAAACTAATTTATACCTTTTAAAACTACCACCAGATCATTAAAGCAAATTATTCCTGAAAGAAAAAAGGTCAGAGTTACAGATTTTGTTGTTCATGTGTCATTAAGTAATGGGCATAAACAATTGATGTTAACTTTTTGATGCACTGTATGTTAAGCTGACATCTCAACTATATTTCAACATGATCATATAAAAGTAGGGTGAATTTTTAATTCTTAACTTCTTTGAATTAAAATTTATAAAACAAACAAATATCGAAACATATCCACACCAATTATCATATGTGAAAGTTGATATTTGGAGATCTGAATTCCTCAAATAGAAAGTTATAATTTTGAAACCCTGACTTCAGATTTTCTTTTTACCACAGAAGATGATGAGTTGAGGTTAACATTTCCTGTCAGGGATGGGATCATCCTGCCTCCCTTTAGGCTAGAGCACAACCTAGCTGTTAGTAACCATTTCTTCCAACTGAAACCATCAGTCTACCAAACACTAATGTGGAGGTCTGACCTGGAGCTGCAGTTGAAGTGTTTTCATCATGAAGACCGACAAATGAACACCAACTGGCCAGCATCAGTGCAAGTGTCTGTGAATGCAACTCCAGTACCTATTGATAGGGGAGTTAACAAGACTTCTCATAAACCTTTGTATCTGAAAGAAGTGTGTCAGCCAGGCCGCAATACAATACAGATTACTGTGACAGCCTGTTGTTGTGTGAGTAGTAGATTTACCCAGCAACTCTTTTTGTGTTTGTAAATTTTTATTGTTTCTTTTATTCAAAACAAGTTTCTATGCATTATTCTTTGCAAAACGTATGTCATACAAAGTTTAGCCTGATTGGCCATATTGTAAATTATTGTTTTTGTAGGCTGAAGTTTTTTGTAACTTTTAAGTGTAAACAATATCACAAAAATATAGTGTTAAGTATGACTTTTTAGACATGATGTTAACTATCACGATGTTAAATATTAAACTGTGCTGCATATTTTGTAGAGGTGCTAAAGATATTGTTTTGCTCCTTTTTTTTTTTAGTCTCATTTATTTTTGTTACACCTTGTCCATCGACCAACTGTGCGATCAGTACTCCAAGGACTTTTACGAAACAGGCTTCTTCCTGCAGAACATTGTATTTCCAAAATCAAAAGGAATTTTAATAGTGTAGCTGCAACAAACAGTGCAATGAATGGTGAAGATGGTGTAGAACAGACAGCGATGAAAGTATCACTGAAGTGTCCTATTACGTTTAAAAGGGTAACGTTGCCTGCTAGAGGACAAGACTGCAAACACATACAGGTAGGAACTCAAATTAAGATTTATGACATTGTTTTTAGTTATTTCACTTTTTTGAAAGATATTGTCACATGTACCATAAAAAATGTTGATGAGCTATATCTTATTTGCATAAGATTATTTATTTTTTACTTTAATTCACTTCTGTTTTTGTCTTTATATAATAGTGTAAAACATTATTTTAACATTGTTGATATACAATGTTTATATGATTGGGGTTGTTATAATATTCAGAAGTTTCTCGTGTGATGTCATAACTTGCAAAGGAGAGTGTTTTAGCTTTTTTGGCAGAAATATTTTATACACACACACAACTGGAAGAAATGTTACTTTTTTTGTAGAATACTTAAAACGATAATTGTTGCTTGCAAATATATGATTATTTTGGTATACAAATGTGTATTATTATTACTTCCTGGAGAATTGAATTTTTTTCTTTTAAAATCCTGCAACAACAATGAAAAACATTAAAAATCTGGAATATATTTTTTTGGATGTTTGTAGTTTTTAATTACACTCTTAAATGTATGTTGAGAAAAAATTCTAAAACAGAGAATTGCCAGTTTATTAGAATTATGTTTGAGATTATAAGAATTAGTGTAGTATTAGGAACAATAAGAAGCATTTTAAATAGTTGCAATGTGGCAGATGCTAGAAATGTTACACAGAAAATAAAATTAACATGGGCAGCAAAGGAAAAACAAACAAACACAAGTGAACAAATAAAATATTTATTAATACAATGAATAGTATCTTAGGGCTTTTCATATTACTGGCAAGCTTCAGTAATAATAATCTATGTGAGACAAAGACAGAAATCAGAATATTTGTGATACCACAGTTTCTCTACCATTTCTCAAAATCAGTAGGACTTCTCACTCCAGGAGGGCATAGCATGGAAGCAAGACTATTAAAACAATTATAAGTTAGAGCAATTGTTGTAATGTGTAACCTCTGTCTAAGTTAGAGGATTAGTGCAAATTTATGACCTTCTCACATTTGATGTACAAACATGCCATTAATTACATGTGAAACATCTACCTGAAAATAGATTAAAACTTACTGGAATACTTTTAAATAAAGATATATTCTCCCTAGTTGTGGAAGGGTAAAATTTGGTCATCTTTCAAATCATCACATTTACTGCTAATATTTTGGATATATACCAAGGTTTATAACACAAATAATGCTTAATTTAGTTAATCAAATCTAACTTTAACAGTAACTTATAAGCAACAAAGAATGTTCTCAAGGGTAGTGATACCGAAAATGGAAACACTGACATTAGTAAAGAAACTTTAGCACTCACCACTCTTTCCTGAAATTGATCTTTTCCTCAACCAGAGCACTAAGTTGTAAAAGGAATTACATGTCTGAGCATCAGCTGAATTAATCACAGAACCATTGCAGTTTAACACTAACCCAGTAAAGTATCGAATGTGTCAGCATTGACTATTTTGTAAACTGAAGCACGGCAAGTCTGACTATGATGGTGTGTGTGTGTCTATATATATATATATATATATATATACATACATACATACATACATAGATAAAAGGAAACTCGATGGATTGAAAGTTCTGCAGACTTCTGCCTTTCCTTACATTTTACCCATTCATAGTTTAGGGTTCACATGCCATACTATGATCATTCAATTAAGTTTATACTTTATGTAATAATTGAAAAGATGCAATAAAAGTTTAAAATTATTTGTGAATTTCTGTAGCAGTTCTCTGCTGTATATGGTCTTTTGTTTACTGCAAACAATTTTGTGAAAAAAACTGTATGTTTAGAATTACAGGATTCCACTAGGATTATATTGTTCAAGAGATTATGGATAGTAACTGGCCAACTTATTTCAAATAAAATGTTAAAATTACACAGTAGTAGTAGTTTTGAATAAAGTTGTTTACGAAGGCTACTTTTGTAAGAAAATGTTGAGCTTTGATGTCAGTTAGTTGTTTTTTTTTAGTGCAAAGCTACACAATGGGCTACCTGCTGTCTGTCCACTGCTGTGAATTGAACCCGGATTTTAGAGCCTTACCGCTGACCCACTCGATGACTTAGGGGTCAGAGACGTCTATAGTCTACTGTTCTATTTAGTAGTCTTATGCATTGTTTGACATTATATTATTGATTATTTTGTATATGCTTTTACGATAGTGTAGTAGAGTATACAACTTTTCAACAACAGATATGTAAAGTTTCACATTGTTTTACTTTACATATATATATATTATCATGATAGTAAACTGTTATTTTATGATAGCTGTGCACCATTTTCACATTATTTAACACTATATTGAATATCTTACAGTGTTTTGACCTCGAATCCTACCTCCAGATGAACTGTGAAAGAGGAGCATGGAGATGTCCAGTTTGCAAGTTAGTATATTGATATTTGAGTCAAGGAATTTTTTTCAGACACATTGAAGTTTCTTAAAATAGTTATAAAGTGGTTTTATTAAAGCCAAATATTTAGCTCAAAATCAATCTTTTATAATGATCTTTAAAAAACTGTAAGGTTATTAGCTAATCAAAAACACCTTAGATGGGAAACAAAAGGTGCTGCCAAAAAGGATAGAACATGCGACTTAAAGGAATGAAATTAAAATTGACAGCCAAACTGATAACTACACTTATAGCATTGATAAGAATTTTACAGCAAATATTCATTCGTTAGTTAGCTAGGCCACATTTTGTGTTCAACTTGGGGCACGATGGTG